TGGTAAACACCAGAAAAATCAATGTGAATAAAAAAATTATAAGTAACGCTAAAAATAAAAATAAAGAAAAAAATTTAATTAAAAAAAAAAACGAAAAACAATGTTTTCAGGTAATTGTGTGATGACAGACAGACAGCACAATTCTAGTAAATTCGTTTAAAAAAATACCTAAAATATTTAGACAAAAATTCCTTTTAAAACGATTTACTTTCTATACAATTGTTTCAAAAGCCAACGAAGGCGTCAATTTTTTTATTCTATTTGTTGTAGTAAAATTTTGAAATTTGAATTGAAACATCTGTTTCGGAAAATAATTTTATGTCAATTATGTACAGAATAAAATTTAATGGATTTTTGTCAAACGAGGAATTTAAGTAATTTAGATACTTAAAAACAATTGTTAAAAGACGAGAAAATGGAATATACATATTAATTAATTTCTTAAGGAAATCATATATTTTTTGTTTTAATTATAAATGAAATAAAATATATAATATTAATCATACGCCTAAATACAAAATAATCCTTAACAATCATACGCATCAGCTTACAATAATAAAATTATAAATATTAATAATACTCATACGTTTAGTAGGACTAATAAATTTCAATTTCATATTTTTATTAAATATAATATATTTTTGTAAAAATCTTATATTTAATTTCAAAATTATTTATAAAAGTTTGCGGCTTTTTTTACCATCTGAAAATATCATTTTTAAAATAAATAAAAGTGCGATTAAAAGCAGACACAAACAGATGGTAAAATAATAAATAAGTAAATAAATTAAATTTGTTTATATGTTTATTTTTGTATTTCAAAAATTAATGTAGAACTAGAAATAAACAAGCCTAACAATAAAAACTGCACTGAGAATCGTAACATTGTTCTCTCATTTTTTTCGTAAAGGTATGCAGGGATGGATCACTTTGCTTCAAAAATAGAATGTAGCATTAGTTCTTCTGTATTTAAATTACTAGATAAAAAACTGCTATACCTACATCGAATCATTTAGAGATAAATATTTGACAGAACTAGAACTGAACTAAACGACTGAACTGAACTAGAACTGAACTAGAACTGAACTAGAACTGAACTAGAACTGAACTAGAACTGAACTAGAAACTGAACTAGAACTGAACTAGAACTGAACTAGAACTGAACTAGAACTGAACTAGAACTGAACAGAACTGAACTAGAACTGAACTAGAACTGAACTAGAACTGAACTAGAACTGAACTAGAACTGAACTAGAACTGAACTAGAACTGAACTAGAACTGAACTAGAACTGAACTAGAACTGAACTAGAACTGAACTAGAACTGAACTAGAACTGCAACTAGAACTGAACTAGAACTGAACTAGAACTGAACTAGAACTGAACTAGAAACTGAACTAGAACTGAACTAGAACTGAACTAGAACTGAACTAGAACTGAACTAGAACTGAACTAGACACTGAACTAGAACTGAACTTAGAACTGAACTAGAACTGAACTAGAACTGAACTAGAACTGAACTAGAACTGAACTAGAACTGAACTAGAACTGAACTAGAACTGAACTAGAACTGAATTAGAAACTAGAAAGTTTTCCATCCCTGAAACAGTGTGTTGCAATATTTTTATAATTATTTAGTGATTGTTTACAACTTCACACTTTTTTCATCTCAAGGAAAATAAAATTTTTATATATTTTTTTTTTTAATTTATGTTTAGTGTCGAATTTTCTTGTTATTCTTAATTTTTTTGAGTGCATTTTTTTTTTTTCAAATGCTTTAGAGAGTTGTAAACATTTTCTCTCAATTTCTACATGTGTGTTGTAATATTTATCATTCACTTTTCTTTGTGTTTTTGTATTTTATATTTTGTTTTTATTTTATTTTTAAAAATTTCTATTATATATGTTATTTTTAGCTTCTTTTATTTTCAAAACTAATTATACAATTTTTCTTGTTTTTTTGTTCGTGTTTTTGGTTTCACAAAATTTTCTTTAACACACGTCAAAATAATTTTTCATAAATTTTGTAAACTTTTTGTTGTTTTTATGCCCATGTGTTTAATTTAATATTTTCCTCAAAATGATTCACTTCAAATCCACTTAGTATTCATTCTTTTTTTTTTTTGCTTTTTCATTTTGAATATGTTTTATTTTATATTTTATTATATTTTTTCTTTAATATTTTAAAATTTATTTTATATTCGTGTCCATATATTTTGTTTAAGAATTTATTATGACATACTGCCGTTGTTTAGCCAGAATCAGGTTAAACTTTTTTCATCTTGATGTCAAGTTATTTCACACAATTCCACACAAATTTTAAGGAAAAAAGCAATGTGTTAAAAGAGTTTTCCATATGTTTTAAAAATTACTCATCTTCTCAAGAAATATTAATAATTTTTTCCAAAATTTCGAGAGTTTTCTTGCAAAATTTCAAATTGAAATATGTTTTTGTTAAATAATTTATTGAAATAACATGATAATTATAGATAATTTATGACAGTAATTTATTTTGTTTAAATTATCATTTAGTTTTGAATATATTTTAATATTAATTTTTAGGCTTATAAAACTATTTTTAAACTTATTTATTATTAAATTATTATTTCATTACATTTTCTTTTTGTTTTATTTTTTTTTTTATCTAAGACACTGCACTATACTTTTTCTTTTTATTCAAAATTTTTTTAGAATATATTTTCAAAATTATGAATTTTTCTCTATATGTTTTTATATTATGTATATTTCTTTTCAAATTTTCTTTTTAATCACTTAGAAATGAAATTTTTCGCTTCAAGACCTTTTCACGTTGTAGCTCTTGCCACGACTAACGCGTTGCTTTTTCAAAAATAAATTTTTTCAAAAATTTTCTTTTAAAAATATTTTAATTTTTCCAATTTTCATATGTGTTTGGAGAGTGAGAACATTTTTCAAAAAGCACATCTGCTCTCAAAATTTTATATTTCCATTTTTCTTGTTGTCGTAATGTGTTGATGTTAAATGAAGAAAATTGGTCGGTGTTTTTCTGACTTAACAGTGAAGATGAATTTATAGCAGTAGAAGTTCAGAATTTTACACTATAAAAAATATTTTTTTTTAATTTTAATAAATAAAAAAAAATTTCCTTAAAAAAAGCTTGTTTTCACTCCGCAAATTTTTGGTAGAAAGAAAAGCTTTCACTGAAAAGTTAAGTTTTAATTTCAATGAACAGTTTTTATATAAGCTTTTTCCTATAAAAAAAAATAATTTTTCAAAAAGCTTTTTCCTTCAAAAGCTTTTCGGAAAGAACTAGAACTGAAGTAGAACTGACCTAGAACTGAAGTAGAAACTGAAGTAGAACTGAAGTAGAACTGAAGTAGAACTGAAGTAGAACTGAAGTAGAACTGAAGTAGAACTGAAGTGGAACTGAACTAGAACTGAACTAGAACTGAACTAGAACTGAACTAGAACTGAACTAGAACTAGAACTGAACTAGAACTGAACTAGAACTGAACTAGAACTGAACTAGAACTGAACTAGAACTGAACTAGAACTGAACTAGAACTGAACTAGAACTGAACTAGAACTGAACTAGAACTGACTAGAACTGAACTAGAACTGAACTAGAACTGAACTAGAACTGAACTAGAACTGAACTAGAACTGAACTAGAACTGAACTAGAACTGAACTAGAACTAGAACTAACTAGAACTGAACTAGAACTGAACTAGAACTGAACTAGAACTGAACTAGAACTGAACTAGAACTGAACTAGAACTGAACTAGAACTGAACTAGAACTGAACTAGAACTGAACTAGAACTGAACTAGAACTGAACTAGAACTGAACTAGAACTGAACTAGAACTGAACTAGAACTGAACTAGAACTGAACTAGAACTGAACTAGAACTGAACTAGAACTGAACTAGAACTGAACTAGAACTGAACTAGAACTGAACTAGAACTGAACTAGAACTGAACTAGAACTGAACTAGAACTGAACTAGAACTGAACTAGAACTGAACTAGAACTGAACTAGAACTGAACTAGAACTGAACTAGAACTGAACTAGAACTGAACTAGAACTGAACTAGAACTGAACTAGAACTGAACTAGAACTGAACTAGAACTGACTAGAACTGAACTAGAACTGAACTAGAACTGAACTAGAACTGAACTAGAACTGAACTAGAACTGAACTAGAACTGAACTGAACTAACTAGATGAACTAGTAACTGATACTAGAACTGAACTAGAACCTGAACTAATTAAGGAACTGATAACTGAATAGAACGAATAGAACTGAACGAACATGTAGAACTGAACTAGATGAACTAGAACTGAACTAGAACCCTAAAACTCTAACTGACTTGTAGAACGAACTACAATGAACTGAACGCCTGACTAGATTCATTCGAATTGAACTAGAAACTAGTGTGAACTAGAATGAACTATGAACTAGACTCAAACCAATTGATGAACTAGAACTTGTAATCAGTACTATATTCAAATTAGTGTTATAGGATAAACCATGTTGTATTCCCCTAAATCCTGTTTGTACATACATATGAACCGCCTTTTTCATTCGATTTTGAAATATGTGTTCTATTACCAATTGATCTCTTGAACCACTAATCATGTTCTTGTCATAACAAAAACAAAAAATGCGGCTAAAAAACCAATCGAACATAAAGAATTCTTTTTTTAATGATCTCAAGTCGTCATGCGGTCCAGACAACAATAGACAGCAGCAACAACCACCACTCTACACCTGAAACAAATGAAAGTATACATACAACAATAAGAAAATAAATAAATATTTTCCGTTGTGAAAAATAATTCGGGCGCGTGAAATTACGCACATTGCCCATACAGTAAGACTACTGTCATTGTGTATATGACTAACTGATTCTGGCGAAAAGACATTGTGCTGCCAAATGGAAAAAAATATATATTTTTTTTAAAAACTGGCCAAAAGCCAAATATTTGTCGCAAACATAAAAATCGAAAAGAAAAAAGTCATTAAGAGTATTTTAATTTTAATAATTTGAAAAATGTACATATTTTGTTAAACTAAATAGAATATTTACATTTCTTATGGCCGCTTTGTACTTGTCGAATCCAATCACGATAATACCAGATGTTGGTAAACATATCGGGATAACCATCGGCACACGGATAAGACCAGGAATGTATGCCTATAAGCGAGTTATTGTAAACCAAAGGACCACCATTATCACCATGACAGGCACCCTGATAACGTTTTACATAGGCACAGATGTGTGAAATATCCACCCGGACATCTGGAAATTCAGACTCTAATATTATAGTACATTCATTTTTGGATACTTGATACATTAGTAATTTTTGCAATTTCTCCGGATAAGGATCCCATAGGGAAATTAAACCCCAACCGGTAAACAGCAAGGGATCGGTAGTATTTAACATGGTATTGGTTAAAGTCAGCGGCTGCACTAAGTCATTAAATGTAATCGTGGTATTCACATGTAATAAAGCAATATCATTGTGATATATATAATACACCTCCAAAGGTTCCTGATAAAGATTACTACCGGCAGCAATTCTTAGAAATTCAGCTGGCCAACCTGTAACACAATGGGCTGCAGTTATGATCCATTGCTTGTCTATTATGGCTCCACCACATAAATGAGCTCCTGGTAGCGTTTGCAAAGAGATTTGATAAGGTGCCAGACCTTCTTCGGCATGTTGTCCTCCTATAATACGGTTTTTAGCGTGCGCTAACTGTTGTTTGTGGGTTGCAACTGCTATGACCGTTAGAATGATTAGCAGTTTTTGTATTTTGCCGATCATGTTGCAAAAGGTACTAATTTTAGAATTGAACCGTATTTATCGTTGGCTGATCAGACTATTGAATTTTTTATGATGTGTTTTTATTTTTTTTTGTCAGATATTTATTCTAATTCTTATCTTTATTTTTTACAATAAATGCTAAAACTTTTAACTTTTGTTAGAAAAATGTCGGCTGATTTTTAAGTTGGATCATTTGGAACTGCCATGAAAAAAAATATATTTTTATCTTTTAAAGCACTAAACTGATTTTCTGCTACAATATAGACTAGACTATAGGCTAGACTATAGACTAGACTATAGACTAGACTATAGGCTAGACTATAGACTAGACTATAGACTAGACTATAGACTAGACTATAGACTAGACTATAGACTAGACTATAGACTAGACTATAGACTAGACTATAGACTAGACTATAGACTAGACTATAGACTAGACTATAGACTAGACTATAGACTAGACTATAGACTAGACTATAGACTAGACTATAGACTAGACTATAGACTAGACTATAGACTAGACTATAGACTAGACTATAGACTAGACTATAGACTAGACTATAGACTAGACTATAGACTAGACTATAGACTAGACTATAGACTAGACTATAGACTAGACTATAGACTAGACTATAGACTAGACTATAGACTAGACTATAGACTAGACTATAGACTAGACTATAGACTAGACTATAGACTAGACTATAGACTAGACTATAGACTAGACTATAGACTAGACTATAGACTAGACTATAGACTAGACTATAGACTAGACTATAGAATATACTATAGACTAGACTATAGACTAGACTATAGAATATACTATAGACTAGACTATAGACTAGACTATAGAATAGACTATAGACTAGACTATAGACTAGACATAGTTGAATAAAACTGTTTGCAACTAGTAGGTCTTTACTACTGCAACTAGATCTTTGCTACTTTGCGATAAGAATCAGACGCGTTTTTCTATTGTAGGGCATAAATATGGCGTTTTATATCAGATATATTTTATTAAAAAGAAATTGATATTATCTTTACGATTTTCTGCTATAAAATTGATATAAATACTTATTAATTAATCAACCATAGAAAAAAAAAAAACATATTTGGACTTACCACTTCTCGCCAAACAAAAATTATATCTGAATTAGTCTTCAAAATGCAGAAAACCTCAACGGTTCTTATACTACTAATAGCGTCCTTATGTACTAACACTGTGGACGGAAAACGTATATCATCCTACCCTTATGTAGCTAAAGAAGGACGTGTAGTGGGTGGTTCTACGGCTGAAGAGGGTTTAGCTCCCTATCAAGTGTCTTTGCAAAATTTCTGGGGTCATAGTTGTGGTGGTGCTATTATTGATAAAGAATGGATTTTAACCGCCGCCCATTGTGTGCTAAATAAAGATGCTGCCGATATTTTGGTGTTAACCGGTACCCAAGATTTAACCGATTTAACGGGAGTATATTATTATGTAGAACGCATATATGTGCATTGCAACTATGATAGTCCTAGTATGCACAATGATATCGCTTTGCTGCGCCTAAATGCCAGTATTGTTTTGAATGATAAAACACAAATAATTCCCCTACAAACGAAGCCCATGAAAGATGGTGATAATGTTATATTAACCGGTTGGGGTTCAGAGGAATATTTTGGTGAATCTCCAGATCGTTTGAAGAAAGTCGATTTGAAGTATATGGAACATCATCGTTGCAAAGAAGCTCATGATAATAATCCAGATGTTGATGTTGGTCACATGTGTACGTTTACTAAAGTTGGTGAGGGCTCGTGTCATGGTGATTCGGGAGGTCCTTTAGTTAGTAATGGTTATCTGGTTGGTATTGTTAATTGGGGTCAACCTTGTGCTGTGGGTTATCCTGATGTTCATGCTAGTCCTTATTATTATTTGGATTGGATTCGCAAGATTATGAGTGGCAATACGCATTGTAAATTGAATGCTTTTATTAAGGATAGACGATGAAATTCGATTAGATATTTGAATAAAATAATTTTTTTAATTAAATAAAGTAAATAAAATTATTAGACACATATTTTGTACTTTTTTTAATTTCAGTACCAAAAGGAGAAAAACGGAAAATTTCTTTTTCTTCAAACTCACTGAACCAATGAAAATTTTTAACAATTAGTTAATTCACTCACACAACATAAACTATAAACTACACAGACAGAAAAAAATGTACACGCCTGGTACCAAATTGGCACCAAATTTTTCAATAACATCCGTTGTCAAGTATATACATACATACAACAACATGTAATGTTGACCACGCAAAGTTGTCAACATTGCAACAATTCGTTGTCGCAATATAAATTTTGTGCACATCCGTTGTCTAAAAGTTAACAAACGTGGTAAGCTCAAACTCCATTGTTAATAGTGAGCTTACCACGTTTGTTAACTTATACAACGAATGTGCATAAAATTTATATTGCGACAACGAATTGTTGCTTAGTTAGTTAGTTAGTTAGTTAGTTAGTTAGTTAGTTAGTTAGTTAGTTAGTTAGTTAGTTAGTTAGTTAGTTAGTTAGTTAGTTAGTTAGTTAGTTAGTTAGTTAGTTAGTTAGTTAGTTAGTTAGTTAGTTAGTTAGTTAGTTAGTTAGTTAGTTAGTTAGTTAGTTAGTTAGTTAGTTAGTTAGTTAGTTAGTTAGTTAGTTAGTTAGTTAGTTAGTTAGTTAGTTAGTTAGTTAGTTAGTTAGTTAGTTAGTTAGTTAGTTAGTTAGTTAGTTAGTTAGTTAGTTAGTTAGTTAGTTAGTTAGTTAGTTAGTTAGTTAGTTAGAGTTAGTAGTTAGTTAGTTAGTTAGTTAGTTAGTTAGTTAGTTAGTTAGTTAGTTAGTTAGTTAGTTAGTTAGTTAGTTAGTTAGTTAGTTAGTTAGTTAGTTAGTTAGTTAGTTAGTTAGTTAGTTAGTTAGTTAGTTAGTTAGTTAGTTAGTTAGTTAGTTAGTTAGTTAGTTAGTTAGTTAGTTAGTTAGTTAGTTAGTTAGTTAGTTAGTTAGTTAGTTAGTTAGTAGTTAGTTAGTTAGTTAGTTAGTTAGTTAGTTAGTTAGTTAGTTAGTTAGTTAGTTAGTTAGTTAGTTAGTTAGTTAGTTAGTTAGTTAGTTAGTTAGTTAGTTAGTTAGTTAGTTAGTTAGTTAGTTAGTTAGTTAGTTAGTTAGTTAGTTAGTTAGTTAGTTAGTTAGTTAGTTAGTTAGTTAGTTAGTTAGTTAGTTAGTTAGTTAGTTAGTTAGTTAGTTAGTTAGTTAGTTAGTTAGTTAGTTAGTTAGTTAGTTAGTTAGTTAGTGTTAGTTAGTTAGTTAGTTAGTTAGTTAGTTAGTTAGTTAGTTAGTTAGTTAGTTAGTTAGTTAGTAGTTAGTTAGTTAGTTAGTTAGTTAGTTAGTTAGTTAGTTAGTTAGTTAGTTAGTTAGTTAGTTAGTTAGTTAGTTAGTTAGTTAGTTAGTTAGTTAGTTAGTTAGTAGTTAGTTAGTTAGTTAGTTAGTTAGTTAGTTAGTTAGTTAGTTAGTTAGTTAGTTAGTTAGTTAGTTAGTTAGTTAGTTAGTTAGTTAGTTAGTTAGTAGTTAGTTAGTTAGTTAGTTAGTTAGTTAGTTAGTTAGTTAGTTAGTTAGTTAGTTAGTTAGTTAGTTAGTTAGTTAGTTAGTTAGTTAGTTAGTTAGTTAGTAGTTAGTTAGTTAGTTAGTTAGTTAGTTAGTTAGTTAGTTAGTTAGTTAGTTAGTTAGTTAGTTAGTTAGTTAGTTAGTTAGTTAGTTAGTTAGTTAGTTAGTTAGTTAGTTAGTTAGTTAGTTAGTTAGTTAGTTAGTTAGTTAGTTAGTAGTTAGTTAGTTAGTTAGTTAGTTAGTTAGTTAGTTAGTTAGTTAGTTAGTTAGTTAGTTAGTTAGTTAGTTAGTTAGTTAGTTAGTTAGTTAGTTAGTTAGTTAGTTAGTTAGTTAGTTAGTTAGTTAGATGATAGTTAGTTAGAACCGTTAGGTATGGAACAGAAAGACATTAAAATCGTTCATTATTAAATGGGTATTTTAAAAAGGGGGAATTCGGTAAGTTTTGTTTCATAGTTTGTAAAAGTTTATAACGACCCATAACTTTTGTGGTCTAAGACAAATATTTCGATGTGTTACGAACAAAATGATTCAAAAACATGGATTGTATATTGGATTGTATATAGGGAGTAATTTAGGCATACAACCTTTAAATCCTGAAAGAAAGATAACTGAAATCAACAAGTAAATAATAATACACAAAAGTAGTAAATATTACTTATATCATAAAAACTGCAGTCAGCAAATAAATACCTAATTTATATACCGACGCTATTAAATGATATTATCATTCCGTATCTAATCGAAGCAATTCGATTACCATTCCCCTCTTGAATTGAAAAAAATACTACTTAAATAGGACCATAGCTATAACAAAACTTTAGACATGAAGTTCAATACCAATATACTCTTGGCAGTAGTAGTCTACCTACTAGTTCTAACAAATGCTAAAGCTAAACGAATCAAACATATAAATCAAACACAAACATTTTCTGGACGTGTTGTGGGTGGTTCTACAGCCAAAGAAGGTTCTGTTCCTTATCAAGTTTCCTTGCAGGAAGGTGGTGGCCATTTGTGTGGAGGAGCCATAATAGATCAGGAATGGATTATAACAGCCGCTCATTGTGTATCCTATAGTGAACCTGAAGAACTCAGTATTTTAACTGGTACCCAAGATCTTACAAAACCCGGAGTGTTTTATCATGTCAAACGCATTTATGTACATTGCAATTACGACAATCCCAGTATGCATAATGATATAGCATTACTACATCTAAATACCAGTATCTATTTTAATGAAAAAACTCAAGCTGTCAAATTACCGACGAAACCCTTAAACGATGGCGATGAAGTTGTGCTCACCGGTTGGGGTACCGAAGAACCTTGGGGCAATGCACCAGAACGTTTGAAAAAAGTTGATTTGAAATTTTTAGAACATGAACGCTGTAAAGAAGCTCTGGAGTATGATCCCGACTTAGATGTCGGTCATATTTGTACTTTTACCAAATATGGTGAGGGAGCATGTCATGGTGATTCTGG